GTGCATTCGAGTTTTAATTGCAAAAAATACACAACAACAAATTAGGGCTAAAGAGAAAAAAGCAGTTGGCCAAGCAAGCCACTAGAGAACTGAAGCGGTGCCAACGCACCCACACACTTTGGCACGGAGCGATTTCATGCAAAACCAAAGAGAAGATAAGAAATATTCATATCTTCTCTTTAATCAGACCAGATATTAAAAGAGCACATAACCTAGATGCCTGATTTGAATATGGCTTCCTTCACCCCTCTCGCACCAGTTAAAGTCAGCCTTGTTCCCAAGGAGACCCTGACAGATGTTCAGCCATCAGCATCATACCGTCAGAGGACGTAAGCATGTTATATTTATATTTAAATTATATTCAAAAGCACATGCCGATGAACTCAAGGTGGAACAAATGACAACTAAAGTTTCAGAATGGTATTCTATATTATTGGGACGACATGAAAGGAAACTGGCTGGTAAGATTCCCAGCAACAACAGTGAGAAAGCAGCCGTAAGTCAAAAAACATTTAAAACAGAACGATAATGTCACAGAGGTGACATTTCTGGGCGGTAGGGTAGCTGTCATCTTTTCTTTTGCCTTGGGCCCATTAGGGGAGCCCATCAGCAGTCTCTCTCTCTCTCTCTCTTACAGGGACCCCGCAGCCTGCAGCGAGCTCGGAACAACTTTTGTGCTCCTCTGCTTCCCGTCAAACGAGAGATCTAGGAAGCAGACAGGCTGCTTGATAGTCAGCCCTTTCCCCTGCTGTCAGTGAGTTATGGAGGTGTAATGTGCATTCCCTCCGTCTGTGAGCAGGTGTGATGCTTTTGATTGCCCATCAACTCTCTTTTACCATTACATTTCTCTCCCTCCTCCCGTTTCAACAAATGAGCTCACTGTTTTTACAATAATTAACGCTTGAGGGACACATTCAGGGCCCCGAGTGGTTTGAATGTTTGCGTAAAGATAACAACCAAATAGCCTACGCCACGCAGATCTGAAAAATTAACCAAATCGGAGTTCACGCAGAGACAAAGAAAAAAAGAGTCAGCCAGCACGGCTTCTGTCAATATAAAGCCAACAGCAAAAACAAGAAAGCAATTGGTCTGACTTTAGTGCAGACATGGTTTCATTTAGGCTAATTTCATGCAGACAGAAAATACAAAAAGGTACCATAAAACATAGAATTGAGGCACAGCAACAACTAGGATGAATCTCATGTGACACACAATAAAAGCTATAGAGAAACACCATTTAGGCGTCTTTTTGGCCATCTTGACTAATCAGACTAAACTAGGACATGGGCGTTAAAACCTGAAAGCAATGTGGAGAACCCGACTCGTCATGAGAGCTGTCAGAAAGCAGTCAGAGAACCCTCTGACTGAAAGGTTAAGAAGTCTTTTCTGTCATCGTGGAGCAGATGAGCGGCGCAAACTCCTCCCGGGGCCACACATAGGAAGTAGTGAGCGCTTAAGAATGCGGCGGCTCTGAGATCATCCTCTTAATGACTTCTAGTCACTGATCGTTAGTAGTCATATTGTTGGGATGATTTTAATGCGGTACACCCTGAGGATCTCACATGGAGACTATAGTTTCACACATAGTAGCTGAAGACACAATTAGACTTTGTATCAGTTAAAAAAAAAAAAAAAAAAAAAGGACAAGGAGGCTGAAGACAGTTTGTTGTGAGTAAACTAAATAAAGTCAAGAGAAGAAAAAAAAGAGGTGCCGGGGCTAAAGAGAAGAGTCTATGTTGCTGGGTAGAATGAATAACACACTTGAGTGGTCCGTGGAGAGGGGAAAGAGGTCTTTGTCTAAAGGCGGAGTCACGGTCATGGTGACAATAAAAGTCCCCCTGTCATGGGTTAGAGCTGTTTAACCTTTTGATCCTCTTGCCCCCTTAATGTGGTCTTTCAGTGTTGAAGGGTGTAGTACAAGCCAAAGGAGCAGATTCACAAGAAAAAAAACACACACACGGAAACTTTTAGCTTTTAACTGCAGCCTGCTAGAGAAGGAGTTTAGGCTACTTGAAAATGTAGTTTACATTCCTGACCTTGTAGTCTCTAAATAAATTAATTAAAATTAGAAAGAGGCTTTAGAAAGTGAGATAAAAGTAAGCAAAATGGTTTGTCCACAACAAGGTGAAAACAAGGTAACGAAGCAATGCAGTGTCACCTTCATGAGACTTTCATTCTTTTCTTTTACAATAATGATATAATGCATCTGTAATACACTGATTTAAAGGCAGTAACACACAATAAGTAGACTATTTCAGACAAGGATTAATCAAAGATTTAAAAAAGAAAAAAAAACATGTGCCTATGACCCTACTGCCACCAAACAGCTGGTAAAGAATGTATTTCTGGTTTTTAGTGAGGATTACAACAAGGAGAGAAGAGTAGGTGAGTAATCACTGCTACAAGGAAGTTAAAATTTCTGACAAGTCTACTTCTTGGAAACTATGCAGAACCCGTCACTGATTCATTCATCATCTTCAACTGAGTGCTGTTGAGCGACACGTGTTCTAGTGCGAGTTTAACTTCCAAAACCCAACTGTAGAAATATGAAGGCTAACAAAAAATGTTTTCTTAAATTCAGTACAATCATTTATTTTGTTGTTTTTGTGTGTGTGTGTGTGTGTGTGTGTGTGTGTGTGTGCGCGCGCGCCATGGTTTGTGTTCCCAGCTGCATCAACATATCTGAGTTTAGCTGGCTCGCAGACTACTGAACTAAATACTTGACCAGTGTATGAAAACAACAAGACAGAGGAAGAGTTTGGGAGCAACTTTCCAAACAGAGTCCCCTGAAACGCCCCCCCTCCCCAAATATCCATGTGTCACAACAGCGGGGTTTGCGTCAGCACAGCACCAAACAGCAAATTAGACGAAGGCTCTCGCGTGGACAGAGACGGCTCGCGGTAAGCCTGTACAGTTACTGCCACCATGGCACTTGGCACCACACCAGTGTGCGCATGGAGGCTGGCGGTAGGGCTGCAGTCAACGACGCAGAGTGGAAAAAACTTCCAGAAAGCACCACGCTGCTGGACCCTGGCTAACCGTAGGCTACACCTTTCAGCCCCGGGGCTCGGACCAAAATCAACACAACCCAGCACGCTTCCATTTTCAGCTCAAGCTCAATCACCGTTTCTGGCGTCGTATGAATCAATGCACACCACCCGGCGACACACACGCAGACGCTTGGGTCGTAATTTAAACCCGTTCGTTGTCTCCACGCCGTCAACGGGGCAGCCGCACATACAATGAATAAGTTTCAACCCACGCAGCGACCGTTCAGTTACAAAGTGCCGCGTCAGATTTGTGTCTAATAAACAATGCTAAATATAGGTATAGTATCACTGAAATTAATACCGCTGTATTACTTCATTGAAGGACTATCTTAAATGCAACTTCACCTCAAGTTAAGTGCAGCTCCAGGAGATCCGTGCAGCAACTTGCTCGCTCTCGACGTATCGTTGCTGCTCAACTTGCAGAGAGCCAGATACCCAGCTGTGACAAACGCTGTCAAGTTCGCGGCAATTACAACTACAACTTCCGGTCCTCGTTTTCAAAAATAAAAGGACCGAGGGCACTCGCAACTGGCCCTTTTTGCTGAATAACATCTTAATAACTCCATATGAAACAAAAAACAAACAAAACGAATAAAGAATTTAAATATGCGTGCGCACTCAACTCAACTAAGAGACGCACTTTAATGTTTATAATGTTCCTTTCAAAGTACCTCATAATGGTCACAAAATGTTTTGTTTTCTAGCTAGTTCCGGTAGCATTACCTGTGACGTAGTTATATGAGAGGAAAACAGCCGTAAACAAACAGTTGATTCAATGAGGATATTGATGTGTTTTTATTTAGTTATGCTTTAAAACGCTTCTGCTGTTATTTCTTATTGACCACCATTTAAATAAACTATTGTTGTTCTACCTTGTCCTTCCTAATATGCACCACCTGTACACATAACAGTTACATCTTACACCTCACTTATTTTCTTACAGAAAGCAAGCGCACCTTCTAACATTAGTTTAGTTTAGTCCAATATGTATGCTACCGATGAGGCTCTTATCTTTAAACATGGTTGGTGAATGTGAATGTATAGCTACAATTTGCTAAGCAGGCTGTTGAAACCTAAACCTGTGGATTAAAAAAAACTTATAATATAAATTCATGTTGTTTTAAGCACATCGTAACTGTAATCATCTATTAGTAACAAAGTAAAAACAAACAAACACATAAATCCTGTTTTCTCTTCTCTTTCAACTATGCCATTCCTCAGACTTGTAACTCTGAATAGTTCTGCTGTGTGAGGGTAAAACCTGTACTCACAGAAAACTTTATTGCTTTCCGGGGAAGGACAAAGTTTTGAATCAATCAGACAAATGTAAACTATTGTTTCCGGTTAGGCACTAATAATGACGACGGTTCCCCGGTCATGTTTCTGTGCGTGTGAGTGACTTGACATCATCGACCGACGAGTACTTCAGCCTGAGGAGAGCCTTAGGTTTTACGACTCACAAAACAGGTTTTAACAGGTGCCTGGTAATACTTGTTTCCCCACTTGTAACTTAGTGTGCTGTAGTTCTTTAAGGAAAAACTTTTCATATGCAGTTTGTGAATGTTGCTCTGATTTATTTCAATCATTTGTACAGAACTGAGAGAGGAGGAAGAGTTGGAGCTGCATTCTCTTCCCAAGGAAACCCAACACTCCACGCCACTGAGACCAATTCCAAGAATGCCAAACACTCAGCAATACATATTCTCACAATTTTGTGGGTTCTCAGCATGGCAGCGTGACATAAACAGTGAAGCTATTCAATATCATAACTCTCTCAGGGCCACTGTCCTCCTTGTTTATCTGGAAAGGAGAGAAGGCAACTTGCTGTGATTGCTACACTCTCGACTCTTTTCATCTTCCTAATACCGCCGCCGAGCGTGGCTGTGGCAAACTTTCTGTCAAGCTGAATTGATTTCAGTCCGTCTGAAATGGCTTATAGGCCACCATTAGATGTAGGAGGAATGTAATTCCAATGAATGACATGGATTATTAACATCAGAGAGATTATGTGCCTGTGGATAACCCATCAACACGGAATAACACGCTGAACCAAACGCCACTAAGTGTATCACTGTTGGCAGCGGGGGAGAAAGAAACATCACCAGCCAAAATGTGAAAGTCTGTCATGAGCTTATGACGGCTTTCATGAAGAATTTCAAATCAAATCAGTGTAGTGAGCGATTCATTTTTTTATTCAAACATAAAAATGTAAACATATACAGTGAATATACAGATTACACATTTTATTAGGTTCAAGTGTTCAACACAATTCACAAACATCTACCACTGAGGCTGAGCTTTTCAGAGAGGTCCCTCCTGGCTCATCAGGACCGACATGGAAGTCACCGGGCTCTTTTAAACTTTATCTCTGTTACTAAGTGTGTAAGTGCCTGTGTGGTCACCCTGGTCACATCTTTGTCTTTAGGAACAGTGCCATCTGCTGTTACAGAGGTAGAAGGGAGGACCCCCCCCCCCCCCCCACCCCCACACACACACACACACACACACACAAACAGTGTGTGTGTGTGTGTGACGGATTCTCACTACAACTCACTGCAATGCAGCATAAAAAAGACACCTGCACGTTGCTCAACTCAGCAGCAACGACATTCGTCTTTGGGACTAGAAGAGCAAAGTTCTTGTCACTTGTCTCTGGAGAATCAGCTCCCAAATACCAGCCCCATACCCATTGGTAGACTGTGAAATCTCATATGATGGCTAAACTGTGTGATCATATATCAGGACTTCTTCCTGAACATTCAACAGATGGAATGTGACGGTGACAGGGACCTCATATTGTCTATCAAAGCTTTAAAAAAATGGATTTAAAGAGGCGATCTGGGACTTCTTTATAATCAACAGTCATTACATCCATCTGTATGGTAACACTACAAAAGTCACATATAGCGTGGTTGCTAATACAGTTAGGTCACACCTGTCCAATTGCCCCTATTATCCAGCTTCATCACTTTAGTAAACGCTTTCTTTTTCCTGCTCCGTCGATGGCATTTTCCCGCCGTACCAGCGAGTTAAAACAACTTCACCGACACACTGTTAATCCATCATGCAGCAGCTCGAACGTGTGGAAAGCTACAGATCACAGCTTTGAAGGAAAACTGGTATACTTGCAGCTGATGTCATGATGTCGTAAAACTCTGTCACCAGAACTGCACCCCGGGGGCCTGAAATGATAACTGCAGCAGCTGCTTTGGTGATGAGCCACAGAATCCAGTAAGAAGTATTTACAGCGTGTGTAGCTTTGGAAGGTGCAAAAATAACCAAATGCACACAAACGTCTCATGTCACATTTAAAATCTTGTTCTTTTGCACATCTTCTGTAAGTGCCACCGTGTTATGTTGACCCCATTTCAATGAATGGGGCCAATGTGCTACTAATTTTGTCAACAGTTCCTGACAAAAAAAAGGAAGAAGAATATAACATGTCTGTATAATTGTTAAAATAAATCAGTCTGTGTTAGTCGGAATGCCTCGAGGGGGCAACGTGGTGCATCCCTCTCCATCAGTGCTTTGAGGTGAGAGTTAGGGTGGAGGAGACGCGGAAGATCTGAGGCAGCATGTTGCTCAACTGGTAGAACATCTCCTCTGAGATACTCTGTCAACACAAGAAGAGACACACAAACACACAGCCAGGATTAGTGAGCAGCAAGGGACTGAGATTTGTGCAGCAATGTGACAAACAACACCTCTCGTACACATTATTAGTCCACACACTGTGACAATGGAAGGGAACCGACGACACCTTTTTCGAAACAAAAATACATCCCGACTGTTTGTCTATACAGCCAAGTGTTAACAGCCCCTGCGGTGGGCTTTTAGTTCAACATCACAGGGTCTAACCCTGAAGAAAGTCAAGATGCTGAAATGACGCGAGCTCCGGCAGCTGTGACTTCAAAGGGGGAGCATACCGCGTTAGCATCGCCACCCGTCAAATAAGAATGTTAAGTATTAATCTTTAAGCGCTGGCGCATCATTCATCCACACGCAAACACAGAGCGTATATATTTAGCCGCTGCGTCTCTTTGAGGCACAGAAAACAATGTTGTTTCAGAGCAGCTATTTTGAATGGTGTCTGAGCATGTAGCTGACAGGAAGCCAATGCAGTCGGGGAGTCCTTTGATGCCGCTGGTTTTATCATCTTAACCTGTCAGCGTGAGATTGTGCTATAAGCTCTGCTGCCTTCCTGACAAACCACAAAAATAAAAACCTATTAGGTATACAACATCCAGATGAGCCCAAAATAAAGTAACAGTTCGGCTTCGTCCAGCAATGAAGTCAGAACTACCTGAACAGAATGACGGCGAAGCTGAACCTGGATGGTTTTGTCCTCTTACTTCTACATAAGGTTAGATCTGGATATCCAAGTGAGTTCAAGATTACGCCCCGTGTTGGAAAACGACACATTAATGCCGTCGCATATCATGCAATTATATGGATGATCTCGCCCAGCGTTCTTTTATCACGGTAGTGCAAACACTGGTCAAGAGAACCTAAAGCTCTATAATCTGTGACTCATGGCGCGCTCTTCAAACAGTCGCTCTTCTAAGCTACGTACAGCCGGGCCAGGTGTGCCTTTTGTGACGTTGTGTACACGCGAGTCCTTGAGTACACATTTCTGTTGAATTAACAGAGATTTTGCTGGCAAGCAATTACTCCAAAGGATGACTGTGCGTCGGCCTCAGCTAAGAGTTGTGAGACCAAAAACATAAAAAGGTTAGTACATTCTCACCTTTGGCACTAGAAACTGGACTGTGCGTGATATTCCTCCATCCCACGAGGCCATCTCCATCATGAAGCCTGCAAATGAAAACAGGTTGACAGTAATTGACAGATCAAATATCTATTCGTCATGTTCAGTGTAGTCCAGGCACTGTTTTCTTATGCAGTTTTGTAATTACATGATTTTGTGCATCTAAGAGGAGTTCAGGAGAAAAAGGACTTTGCTCTTTGAGGAAAGACAAGAGCTCTTGTTTTAAAAAGCTGTAGACTTCGACTTGACAGATCTCTGCTATATTGCTTCACCAACACACGGCAGAATGGGGACCAATACAAGGTGCAATGCAACTTGTTTTAACAGTGCTGAAGTGTGCGGTAGCAGAAAAGCTCAAGAAAACAATTCATGAACTGAAAATGTTCAATTGTCATCCTACCTTTGACACATTTAAATACCAGCTCTGCTCTCTTTAGACACCACGGTATGGTCATCTCCTGCAGAGAGACGAGAGGAGAAATGAGAAGGGAAATACATTTTAAAAAGGCAGACAGACACCCATTCTATGTCAACAAACTGAATCCATGAAGATGAGGCAGGGAAGTCGTCGAGGCCCATGTTTATACCCGTGTGTACGGCGTCACCCACTAAACGGTTTGCCCTCGAGATAAACAGCACAGACTTGAGCAACAGGTATCTGACGCATCAACAATAGGACAGTACACCGACGCCGGTGTCAGTGATGAGCTGGCTGTTGACGTTCGCAGGAGCTTTAAAAAACAAAAGGCAGGTGTGGTCTTTGCCAAGCAATTGAGGCAAGTAAATGCATCTCCAACAACCAAAGAAATGAATATAACAGTTGTCAAATTGTCACCGTCTGTCAACCAATTCGGAGTGCCAGTTTCCAGAGTTTTCAATTCTCCTCTCTGCAAACATTTAAACGTGTATGATAGGTTAACTAAGCAATAGCTTCAATATTCCTTTAAGTCTTAAATTTAAAAAATAAATAAGTACAAGAGGCACAGCCCTGTTTTATTTTTGCAGTCTAGTCTACAGTTCTTCTAGAGTCCATAGTTTTGTCTAGAATCTAGACAAGACTATGGTGTTTTCAATGCCAAAACACAAGAACAGGCTTGTACAAACAGGTAAGACATCTCCACTAAATGTCAAACAAGACTGAAAGGAAGATTACAGATGGAATGTTTTGATGTGGAACCAGAAGCTATTAATTAAAGTTCCTCTGGTTCCCAGTGCTTTGAAGGTTAGAAACATTTGGTTACGTAAACAAAGACTCTTGATGAGAAGGAAAGAAATTGAATGTTGTGGCATGAGTGCAATGCAGACAGAGGCTTGATTCTCAGTTTATTATACTTCAATCTTTATTCAGTTGATGAACGAGGAAGGATAATTATGCTCTGCCATGAATTTCCAGGAGATTTTCCGGTAACGATTTTTCCAAATTCCAGATTCAAAAGAAAAATCCTCCTTATTGTGCCGGGATCTTTGGCTGAACTCGGCTTGATTTCACAGTGTCATCAGTCACTGAAAGCTTTCTCTGTTCCTCTCCCCTGCAGTGTGAGAGCACAGAGAGTGCTGCTGTACACACTGTACACTCTGAGCTACTAAGTAAACAGAAGAGTTCACGACTCTCTACTTTGCCCTCCCGGTTTTGAACCTGGGAAACGTTAAGTCGTAGGCTGAATTCACAGGCTAGTGCCCGACAAGCCAGACCACAGCTGAGGATGCAGTGCTTAAACAAGCGGCGGCCGAATGAAAAGGGACGAAAATGGGACTGTGCCATCAGTAATGGCCACAGAAAACACAGGGGTAAACATGGGTTGAATTATTCTTTGGGGTATCACATTATGACATTATTATAATCCTTATGAAGCGCGTGTGTGGAGAAAGAACATCCTCCATACAAACAAGCACTCACCGTGCTCTCAGCCACTCTTACCTCCGACATGTCGTGGACCAGCAGCAGCGGGACCGTGATGGTGGTGACGTCGTGCGTGCAGCAGACCTTCAGGATGTTTCTCAAGCCCATAATGGCCGGGTCCCGGGCCGTGATGTTCCCTGAACGCACGTTGTCGTCCACACACAGGTGGAAGACCACATGGACCTCCGACAGGTTGGAGTGCCGCGAGATGTAGAACTCACCTTGAGGGAGACGCAGCAGGTATGGTATGTGGTATGCAGAACGTGTGGATTTTGGATTAAATCAAAGAAGCAGTGATTCTCTGCTCTCTCAATCTGAACGATATCCATTACCTGGTAAGATGTTGGATGGATTTCTTTCAACATTTTTGCTCTTATCGTCACCTCCGTTCCTTGGAATCTCTGTCAGGATAAACGTTGAAAAACACAACGAAAATCAGTACACTGAAAAAAAAGTCTGTCAATTTATCTCATAAGGACACTTGATGGCAATGGCGGCTGAACCTTTCCTTGAGAAAGAATGTTTCTATATACAGCTCTACTCCACCAACCACTCAACGTATGCTGTGATAAGGATCTGGACACGGCTTTCTGTAAAGTGTCTTCTACTCCCTGACTATTTAATCCCCCCCCACTCATACTGCCGGCATGTCGCCGACATGCTCCAACTCTGTGAAACTGTTTGCAGAGTCAAGTTCTGTAGTGCAAGACTGTTACAGGCATTCATATAGATACACGCCCCTTCCATTCACTCTTTTAAAGACAGCTTGAACTCTAGAGATGAAGGTGCTCCTTCGTGTCTTGCTAAACATCAAACCAGGTAATTTAGAGATTAACTTCAGCTTCAGTATATTCAGTATGTTGAGATGAATTTAGCCAAAACAAACAGCTCTTAAGATGGTACAACCACTTGCATCTGTGAGTCTCTTTGTCCCTGCTAAACAAGGCCATGATCAACAATATTAGTTAAGCCTTGTGTAATGCATCGCTGGCTGAAGAAAGAATTATCAATTACCTTCACCGGTCTGGCATTACTGTTTCTAATCCTCTTTAAATGTTCTGTCTGTATCATAGATGTTGTGGAGCAACCAAAAAAACCAAACCCGGCTGCTCTTTCTGCTTGCTGGTCCGCTGGGCTCTGGCGTAGAGCAACACCTGCTGCACCTCGTCCAGCTGCGCCTCCAGACAGGGAAAGTGGAAGTCCGTACACTCCTTGTCGACAGTTGCAAAGTCTGGGGGGGTCAACACAGAACAGGCCAGGGATGAAATGATGCATGAAGTTAAAGTTAATACTTAGCCAGAGCGTATCGCTGTTATTATACCTCCATGCTGTACTCGGACTCTAAAAACAAATGAAAAAAGTGAATGGAGTACCTGGTCTTTAAGACAAATCATTTAAAGATGACTTTCACTCCACTTTAAACACTTTAAAGTGTTATTTACTGTAAAAACAAAGCGAGAAAACAAAATGACCTCTCTTGATGCCACTGTAGGAGTTGACCCTGTTGTCGACCAACAACACCAGACCGCAGAGCGAGGAGGAGTAGAGCGAGAGGGCCGTCTGCAGCCGCCTCAGCTTCGCTCCACCACTGCTGTGCCGCCGGTGCTTACAGAAGTCCAGCACATCTGCCCGGACCAGCCGCAGGTTGTGCATTGTCTTCAGTTGTGCTCCTGATCAGAAGACGATTATACGCATTGTACTGTAGCTCACATCAATACTGCTGTCACAAAAAACCAGTGTACAAAGATTTGGAGAGCATGTTAGAAGTGAAGCACCTAAATGTATCGTAAAACTCTCCTCCAGCTGAGGCTGCTCCTCAAACATCCTGGCTCCAGAATCGTCCAGCTCCGACAGCTGGCTGGGCTGCACCTTGATCTCCTCGCTGGAAATCAATGGTACAAAGAAATCAATTAAAACTGCAGATATTACATTTTAATATTTACTAAGATTATTTTTATACTGAAAAAGTACAGTATTCAAAAGATAAGACCAGTTTCACATTTATTTTTGGTTATTTAAAAGCAAGAAATAATGTAAACAATATGCAAATCTCAGTTCTAAGGATTTAACTTTTGGTTTCAGCACTTCATCTACAAACATTAAGAAACAATATCAAGCAAATCAAAATTGCAACCCAAATTTCTTTACGGGACCGTAGCTCTAAAAATGCATATTTACAAAGTGTTCGAAAGTGCTGATGTAGAAGTTTTAAGTTCCACCAACACATAACACGATAATGATATTCATCATTCAGAAATAAACTGATGCAGGGTCAGCACATTGTGTGAGCAGCTCTTAGCATACAGTTCCTGGTGGTATCTGCAGACAGTGCATCCAGAAAGTATTCACAGCGCTTCACGTTTTCCACATCTTGTTATGTTACAGCCGTATTCCAAAATGGATTAAATTCATTTTTTTCCCTCAAAAATTCTACACACAATACCCCATAATGAGAAAGTGAAAAAAGTTTGTTTAAAATGTAACATAACAAGATGTGGAAAACGTGAAGCGCTGTGAATACTTTCCGGATGCACTGTATATTAGATATTCCATCAAAACACAGGGGGAGTGTAGGACCTGAATTTAAACCACCACTCACTCTGCGGGACTACATTACTGTTAACCACTGTTAGATGGTTTTTTTTCCACTTCTCATCTCACGATGCCAGTCATACTGATGCTTTAAAGCTCAGCATCAGTCAAACTTAGATGAGTTTTTGACCTCTTGTAATCACTTCAACTTCTATGTAAATGAGGTCTGTACTTCAAAAGGGCCAGCAGACATGTCATGGATTATATAGTGCAGCAGTTAAGATCCTGTTAGTTAAGTGTCAGTTTGACCTCTAGTCAGGATTTAGTGAGACTTTTACAGTAGCACAATCCACACAGGGGATATTCAAACCATTTTGTTTTGTCAGTTTAATGCAGTTTTAACAAGTTCCTATGATCCTTTAGATCCCTCTTTTAATCTAAATCACCGTATTTTATCAATGTAAGTTTTAAGGGTTGATATTGACTCTACTTCCATGCTAAATCCCCATACATATAAACTTAAACCCACCGATCAGTGAACAAAGACCATGAAGTGCCGTTCTGTCGCTGCCTTTTGACAATGCTATACTCCCAGATGCCACGTCAGCACATTGCAGACATCCGTCAGCACTGCAGCTTTTCTTTTTCGAACAAGAGGAAGGAACTGTTCATCGTCTTGGATCAACTATTGCTTTTACCCCAAGATTTGAAGGAGGACGATCAGAACTGAAAGAGCCCGTTAAGCTGCATACGAGTGTAAAGTAAGCCTACCAATATCAGCTGTCCACACACACACAGAACATGCTTCAGTTTTCATGCAAATCCAACATGTTAACAGAGTCTGTTGTTTGATACACACACACACACACACTCACTTAATTTGGCTGCTGTTGTTGGATTTCTGCAGGTCCTGGTGCAGACTGATGACCCACTGCTGATACTCGTGCTTTTGAATGCCAGTAACTTGCTTCAGCTCACTGGCCCACTTGGTCTCCAACACCTGCTCAAAGAAGACAAACACTTAGGAACTTCAATATGACAACAACATGTTTTGACTGAGATGGCGAGAGCAAATCTGAATTTATAAATGGAGAATTCCCAAACTGAATCCCCTGAAATGTCTGTGGTAAAATGATAACTTGGGATCAAGGTGCCCCTGCTGTTAACACTGCTGCAGAGCACCCCGACTTTGTTTTTACCTGCTGTGCATCAAAGTGTTGAGAGGCAACTGCATTTACATCATGGTCATTCAAAGTATTTCCCAGCTCATGCATCACTTTGTCCATTTCAGCGGCTTGCCTGTCAGACAGAAACAAAATATTCAGTGATTTTATTAGACTGATGGGGAAATACATCCTCATCTACAGAGCCTTGCAAAGGTATTCACCTGCTTGGTGTTGTCCCTATCTTGCTGCATTACAACCTTGAATTGAAATGGATTTATATTGGGATTTTATGTAATGGACTTACACAAAATGGTCAAAATTGGTGAAGTAAAATGAAAACACAAAAAAAACATGTGCATTTGTATATGTATTCACTCCCTTTGCTGTGAAGCTTTTGCATTTGCTGTGTGAAAGCAAAACAGATGTGGACTCAAAAGATAAAACTACAATTAAATCAATCTGATGATCATGAACAGATTGATATTCCGATCCCTAAAGGCGAAATAAATTCAAAAAACATCTGTTAACTACAGGTGCATGTATGCGCGTCAACACAAAAGGACTGAAACAGATGCATCTTGGGCGAACGTCGTCCTACTTCGTCTATTTTAGCAGATCCCAAATAAAAACTAAAATAAGTGAAACGTAGAAACATACCATCCCCCTAAAAGGATCAATGTGCACATGAACCAGACAACCGAACGAGCGAGAGCGCGCTAAGAATACAGAAGGTGAGTGGAGCTTTAGAAAAATACCAACCTCTCCTGTAGCTTCTTAAGCTCCATGTCTCTCTCACTGATGAGCTCGGAGATGCTCACAAAGTAGTTGTGCTCCAGGTTGAGAAGGGTATCGGAGGCCGGCGAGTGGATCAGCTCATGGTAAACATCGGCAAAGTCCTCGTCCCAGCTGGGCTCTTCGGGCCGAGCATGCTCCAGCGTAGTCTGAAACCGTGAGAGGAGAAAGAAAATGAGCATTCAAAAAAACAAATCTGTCATTGTGGGTAATGATCTGCTGCACAAGAGGAGAATTAAGAGTGGCCAGTGAGAGGCTGATATTCAGTAGAAAGTGTTAAAAATTACATTTTCTGTGAACACAGGAAGACAAAAGAGGAAGAGGATGAAATGTCAACACATTTTGAATGAATGTTTTGCTCACCTCCATAAAAAAAAGGCAGTTCCATGCCCAACTAATCCATAATTAGTAAAGCA